GTGCTGCCGAGAGGGTCCCGAGGGTCCCGCGGAGCCGTCGCACCTGCAGCAGGCACAGAGGGAGCTGCAGGGGCTGGGAGGCACAGGCAGGGTGGCACAGAGGAGATGGCACCTCTGGCATCAGCTGGTGTGACAACATCTGCCTTACAAAGCCAGAGCTGAGCTGGGAATGAGCCAGGTGAGAGGGAGCAGATCTATCCCACCTCGGGAGCTGCTAGACGTGTAGGTGTTTGCTCAGTCTGTGCTGGAGCAAAGAAGAGATTGTGGTGGTGAAACTGTGATCTCCCCAACCTTCACTGCCACTCACACAGCTCAGGCTCTGCTGCTCCTCTGTGCTGTGACACCTCCTGCTGAGTCCCCCCTGCTGCCACCCTGTGCCCTCAGCTGCTCTCCCCCACCTTGCTGCCAGCTACTGAATTATCTCCCCTTGGCAATGAAAGCTGCGACAGCCTCTGGGGAGACAACAAAGCAGTTTGGATATTTGGGCCAAAGAGCCACTCCTGGAGCTGTTCCCCTTCAGAGCTCTGTCTCAGCCACCACAGAGCACAGACACAGGCCATGGTTATGTGCTTGGCCACTCCTGGGAGTGACATTTGGGGGTTCAGTCTTCCAAAGAAGCTTAGCAGACTTTAGAAGTGAGGGTTAAAAATGATTCATACATTCAATAATGAAACTAAACCCTGTGCTTGCTGTATCCTCTGTCCATTTGTGCTCTCTCTTCACTCTCATGTCTGGATTATTAACAAGCCACGATGACCCAGCATTGCCTTACCTGTATGTGGTGGGGTGGAAGCTGATTTTGCTCTGCAGTTTCCCCATAGCCCTGGCAATGAGCACAGCCCCACCAGAGCCAGCAGAGTGGGGGTCACATCAGCACCTCAGGCACCTGCCGTGGGGACACCACCTGTGGGTCAGGGAACATGGCATTACTGGGGATCCAGAGAGGTTCCTGCTTGTTGCATATGTGGGATAGAGTGCTGAGAACACATTATCTACCCTCTAATTTCATTTAGAATAAGAGGAAAACCTCAGAGGAGGGAACATATGGAGGTCCTGAGTCAAACCTTCGGCTCAGAGCAGAGCCAGCAGCAGAGTGAGGTCACAGGAACCTCATGCTGAGATTAAAGTTATCTAAGCTTGGTGAGGCCATGAAAGAGATGGAAGTGCTGCCTGTAATTCTTCTAGTGCCTTATGCCTCCTCTTTACTCCAGCATCTGCTCCTAACTTCCATATATCCAGGAGATCCCGATCTCTAGCCTGGTGAAGGCAAACACCTTCAGACAGAAGCTGGTACAGTGGATGGTGGGACCTGCAGGCACAGGCAGCCCCAACTCTGCCCAACATGCATGAGTTTCTCAGCCTCCCATGGGCTGAGAAACACTTTGGGAAGAGCAGATTCCATGTTCAAAGGCCAACCCCAGATCCAGGCAAGACAGAATCATCTGGATAAGCCAGATGCATTCAGCAAAGAAACACCTGCTGGCCAGGCTGGGCCCAGGCTGGGGCCAGGCTGCCCAGTCCCAGCACATCCCTCCCAGCACTGTCACACAGCCAGTCCCCACGGGAGCATCCCTGAGGGTGAGGAGCCTTGGCAGGGCAGGGCTCAGGCAGAGGCAGCATCACTCCCTCAAGGCCTCACGGGTCACAGCCCGAGCAGAACTCAGTCTCAGTGACAGTGAATTGTCACAGACAATAAGTGGCTGCTGCTTAGCTCGAGGCACACTAATTGGATTTAGCCTGTACTGTATGTGTTGGCACTTCCCATCATCTGGGCTGTAGGATTTTGCTAATAACAGTCAGGAATAAACCCCCACCTGCTTTTTTTTTTCCAGCAAAGATAAAACTGCTTTGAGGCTCTTCCCACCAAAACATGAAAACCAAATCCTGGGAACGCTAGGCAAGTTGTGTTTCTACAATTCCCTTTCTAAATTTACCCTGACAGCCTTTGTGATTAGCAATTAGTAAGACCCAATTAATCTCCTCCTGTTCTATCCATGAGTTTGCATGTACCAAAGATGTGAGGAATGATCAATCTCACAGCTGAGGGGCTGTGATGGTTTTGGCAGTTCACTCTCTCCATCAGACCAAGTGCCCCAGTTCTTTCAGTACATCAGGAACACTATTTTTCTTTGACAACAGAGAACTCTGCAAGTTGTTTCTCCTGAAAAACAAGATCCTAGGAAAAGATAAGATCTAAATTCTGATCTTTTAACTATAATGGTTACTGTTTCCAGCCAGCAGTTAGTTTGCTCACTCCTGTGGTTGATGCAGTCCCTACCTGCTCATCAGGTGGAGGACACAGAGGCTGCAGGAAAGGCAGGAGCTCTGTCCTGTGTCTCACTCTGTTCTGCCTCTTCCTCTCTGCAAGAAAGAGCAGATTTCTCTGAATCCCAAATGGGAACAGTGCTCAGGCAGGATGTTCATCCAAGGTTTTGCTGTCTGCATCCTAGCCCACGTTTATCCTGCACCATCACAAAGCTCTAGTAACACAGGGATCCTGCAGCAACTGATCCACACTAAGCTTCACCTCCAGCAGACAGAGTTTCATGCTGGAGGATCTTATCCTCTCATCCCCCCAGGTGCATTGCTTGACAGAAATCAAACACATTTTTTACTGAATTGCTTTTAAAAAACCACCCACACTGCTGCCTCTGCCAGTGCAGGCTCTGCAGAGAAACCAGGGGGTAAGCAAATGGCACCAGCCACAGCAGCAGGCACAGGGACCCCAGCACAGCTCCCCTGTCCTCACGGGGGCTGAGCATCCCTTCGAGGAGGGTGTCTGAGCATCTCTGGGGAGGATGGGGGAGCAGCCTCAGTCCCCAGAGCTGGGGGTGACCCAGGGCAGTGGTGCAGGTCCTTAG